ATTCTTCCGGCGTAGTGTGGATGAGGCCTAAGGCATGAGTCATACTGTACTGCACACGAGAAACTGAAACCATATCTGTGAAAATGTAACTTCTTACATGTATCTGCGAAGGCCATATCTAAAAATGTTGAAAATTACAGATTCTACAATTATACATACTGTCTTTAATGTGTTTTAGACTTGAAGGCCTTTCTGACTCAAAGATTGATTTTACAGTGTAAATTCTTCGCAGCTTCTCTGTCTTTTTCAACTTTCGTTTTACCTCCGCGGAAACCACTTTTTTTTTGGTTCACATCGCGTCTACTGCAGGTTTTTTTTCCTTTAATTTTCCAAGTCACTTACCAATTGGTCTAAATGTGACAACAAGGTAGAGATTAATAAGAAATAACACGGAAACTGCGGTGTTAAACATGACAATAAAACGGCGTGTTAAAAAACAAAGTTCATTTACTTGACGTTTCGTATGTTTCAACATACATCTTCAGAAGTGACCGTTAGGAATAGAAGTAACAACTAAGTTTCAATTTAAAATAAGTAACTAATTAACAATTACAATGACAGAAGCTGAGAAAAATTGGCATATAAACAATGCAACCTAATAAAGATAAAGCTTTTTGCTGCTTACATTATCACTTAGGGCGGGTTTTAATTCCCTTATTAGCAGAGTCTCTTTTATCTTGCAATGTGTATCTGTCCGACCTTTTGCTAATATATCAAAGTGGTTCCATTTGAAGTTGTGACCAGTCGACGTGACGTGGTCTGCAATAGCAGAAGCATGACAGCTACTCGAGATCGATTTAAACTGTTCAGTTTTTCTGTCATGCAATCTACGTTTTGTTTTTCCAATGTAGAAATCCTGGCAGTCCCAACAACTAGCCTTATACACAACTTTTGACAGTTGGGAACTGTTGATCCTATCTTTATAGGGAAATAAAGACTTAATGCGATAAGCGCTTTGGAAAATAAGGTAGAACTAAATAAGGTACAAAGCAAAATTGTTACCAAACAACTGAAGACCTGCTTTAATAAGTTTTGTGGTTGCATTAATCTTGCGGTAGATTGCGTAGATTGCATGACAGAAAAACCTGAACATTTTAAAGCGATCACGAGTAGCTGTCATGCCTCTGCTATTGCAGACCACGTCACTTCAACTGGTCACAACTTCAAATGGGACCACTTTGATATATTAGCTAAAGGTCGGACAGATACACATTGCAAGATAAAAGAGACTGCTAATAAGGGAACTACTACCGCAGTTCATATATGAACTACCGCAGTTCATATATGAATTATTTCATATAAACTTCACATCAAGGGAATTAAAACCCGCCCTAAATGATAATGTAAGCAGCGAAAAGCTTTATCTTTATTAGTTTGCATTGTTTATATGCAAATTTTTCTCAGCTTCTGTCATTGTAATTGTTAATTAGTTACTTATTTTAAATTGAAAATTAGTTGTTACTTCTATTCCTAACGGTCACTTCTGAAGATGTATGTTGAAACATACGAAACGTCAAGACTACATCATATTTGGTCTTCTTTCTCTTTTACAAACCTGGTTTGACATCTACCATCCTCTGACTCTTGAATTCATGCGCCAGTTGTTCTACTTTGTCATCTGTTTTGGTGAAACTATCCTGCAGTTGTGCCATACCTTGCCCCATTTCTTCCACTTTGACCTTTGCTGCAGCAAGACCTCGTTCTGCTCCCTCGACTCGTTGTTCCACTCCTTCAATTCTTTGTTCCAATCCTTCGACTCTCCTCAATAATTCTTCACTCACCATTTTTTCCATGGACACTAGCCTCTCCAAGATCTTGTCAATCTCTTCTCTTCTAGCCTCCTCTTCCTTTTCAAGCTTCGTTTCCACTGCATCTAGTCGTGCATCATGCCCTGCCAAGTCTGCAATGATTCCTTTTACTTCTCTTTGGACCAGAGATAGTAGATCTTTGTCCACAGCATGTCCCATACACAGCTGGCAACCTAAGAAAAGATTCATCAGTACTTTACTGATGACATATGCAAGTCACTAGGACAGGTCACCTAAGGACGTTCGCGTCCAAAATGTTCCCACCGACAGATTTTTTTAAATCTTGCCATGAAGTAAGGTAAAGATCAAATGGGGAGTTACCTTGCTCGTTTTTTAGATAAGGCACTTTTAAGACCTTTTGTTATTTTAAGATGATGTAAATTTACAGCTATCGGTCAGAAAACAAGCTACTATTCTAATGAAATTTAGATCAGGTAAATATACTCAATTCAACCGAACTAAGTACAGTCAAACCTCTATCAAGCGGCCCTCTTCTAAGCGGTCACCCTCTATCAAACGGACACTTATCAAATTCCCAAAAAGTAGTCCCNGATCAGTCATGAATGATGTTACAGTCACTGCCAATACATTCACATATCAATAACAGATCTTTACATAATTGATCTGCATTATACAGTCACTTTGTTCCACAGTCACTTCGTTCCAAGTCACTTCGCTCCATCCATTGGTCACTTCGTTCCATCAAAGAGTCACTTCGTTCCACCAAATAGTCACTTCGTTCCAAAGGTAAACTAAGCTACTACCCTCAAGAAGTTTTGTCCGCGGGTAACTGAGTAATACAATTCTTTTGATCGCTGTCAGATGCAATGCGAAGATTAAAACCCTTTCATTACTTTTATAAGTGAACTAGAAGTTTGTATCGAATCGATTCAAGATGTATATCGAGTCGACTTTGCATGTGTATAAAAACGATGTCGAGATATAACAAAATGAAATGGAAACGACAAAAGGATCGGATACCAGACAGTCCAAGGACTCTATCCGCTTAAGGTGTTTAGTAGCTTTGTAAGATTAGAAGTTTACTTGCTTAGTTTGTAAAAATGATTAGCAGTTTACTTGCTTAGTTTCCCCTTAGAACGAAGTGACTATTCTTTGGAACGAAGTGACTCTTTGATGGAACGAAGTGACTCTTTGATGGAACGAAGTGACCATGGAACGAAGTGACCGGATACCATCCACACTAAGATATAGATTAGTCAACTTCATAGTATTTGTCGAACTAGTTAAATCAGAACAAAGACAAACCAGAATCTATCTTTCATAAGTACCTTTTGATTGCCAATCAGAAAGCTGATCTACAGTGGTCTTTTCCACACCACCAGTCAGTCCCAGACTTCTCACCAATGTTGCCAGCTGGGAGAAACAATCACTGAAGAAGACTTCAGTCCAGTCAGTAACATTACAGTGGCCCCATGTGTTCCTGACATTTTCCCTGACATCATCAGCTGAACTCTGAATAGACAACCCTGGATTTGGAGAGTGGAAAATTGGTGCTGGGTTGTTAACTCCCAGCAGACGAAGGATTGCACTCATGTCCAGTGACTCGTCAAAGCCTGAAAACTTAGCAAGATGATCTGGCAGGAACAGCTTGGCCAAGT